ATATTCTGTGCTTCGCGCTCAGGGGAGAGGATCTCACGATCTTTCCGCCGATGACCTGCGCTCGAAAATCTGTTTCTGCCACTTGCCTTTCAGTGCAGTCGCCGGTGGGCGCTGTTTCTGCGTGCGCCACGTGCATCATTGCAGAAGCCTTTTGCCTTCTAATCGTGAGTCACTGGCTGCAGCTTGTGCGCGACAGTCCCCGTTTGTGCTTAGACCCCGGTCTTTGCCACCGCTGCGAGCCACCCGCAGCATGAGCTGGGTCCAGCCGTTGAAGTTGGGACTGCCACCAAGAGGCACAGGGAAGATTCGATGCGTCGAGCTCAGGCGAGAGCGGGCCTAACGAACGTGCCGCCGATGACTGCCACCTGCCTTGCAATGCAGCCGCCAGTGGGCTTTGTCTCTGTCGGCACCACGTCCATCCTTGCAGAAACCTTCTCCCATCTAATCGTGAGTCAGTCGCTGCTGTTTGTAAGCGGCAATTCCCGTTTGTGCCTCCCACTTCCATTGCCAGTGCTGCCCACTGTCCGCAGCATGAGCTGGGGCCAGCCGTTGAAATTGGGACTGCCACCAACAGGCACAGTGAAGATTCTGTGCTTCGAGCTCAGCGGAGCGCGTCTCAAGATTGTGTCGCCAATGAGCTGCAATCGAAGATTTGGTTCTGCCACGCGCCTTGCAATGCAGCCGCTGGGCGTTGTATTTGCGAGCACCAGCTCCAGCCTTGCAGAGGCCTTTCCCCCTACTGACGTGGGTCTCCACTCGCTGCTTTTTGTATTCGGCATTCCCGATTGTGTCTCCACCTGCCATTGCCCAGCCTGCGCACTACCCGTTGCATGAGCTGGAGCCAACCATTGAAGTTGGGACTGCCGCCAACAGGCACAGTGAAGAGCATGTGCGTCGAGTTCAGGCGAGCAGCTCAAACAATCGTGCCGCCGATGACTTGCAGTCGAAGATTTGGTTTTGCCACTTGCCCTTCAGAGCAGCCGCCCGCGGGCTCTGTTTCTGCGGGCACCAAGTGCATCATTGCAGAGGCCTTCTCCCATCTAATCGTGAGTCACTGGCTGCTGCTTGTGAGCGGCAGTCCCCGTTTGTGCGTAAACTGTCATTGCCAATTTTGCGCACTACCCGCAGCATGAGCTGCGGCCAGCCGTTGAAGTTGGGGCTGCCACCAACAAGCACAGGGAAGATTCTGTGCGTCGAGCTCAGACGAGCGGGTCTAACGATTGTTCCGGCTGTTTCTGCCACTTGCCCTTTAGTACAGTCGTCGGTGGGCAGTGTTTGTGCCGGCACCAGGTACATCATTGCAGAAGCCCTTTGCCTTCTAATCGTGAGTCACTGGCTGCTGCTTGTAAATGGCATTCCCAATTTCGCCTCCACCTTCCATTGCCGATGCTGCGCACTACCCGTTGCATGAGCTGGGGCCAGCCATTGAAGTTGGGACTGCCGCCAACAGGCACACAGAAGATTCTGTGCGTCGAGCTCAGGGGAGCGGGTCGAACGATCGTGCCGCTGATGACTTGCAGTCGGAGATTTGGTTGTCCCACTTGCCTTTCGATGCAGCCGCCTGTGGGCTCTGTCTCTGTCGGCACCAGGTCGATCCGCCTTGCAGAGGCGCTTGCCCGTCTTATCGTGAGTCTCCATTCGCTGCTGTTTGTAGGCGACAATCCCGGTTTAAAACTGCGAACTATCAATTGCATGAGCTGGAGCCAGCCGTTGAAGTTGGGACTGCCACCGATAAGCACAGTGACGATTCTGTGCGTCGAGCTCAGGCGAGAGCGGGTCTAACGATCGTGCCGCCGATGACTTGCAGTCGAAGGTTCGGTTCTGCCACTTGCCTTTCAGTGGAGCCGCCAGAAGGCTTTGTCTCTGTCGGCACCACGTCCATTCTTGCCACGCCCTGTGCCCATCACGTCACGCGATTCAACTCACGGTTCTCTTCCATGTTTGCCACGGCCCGTGCCGCCACTGTCGTGCCATTCATCCCCTTCACATTGTCGCGCGGCTCCCCTTCAGTCCCTGGCCACAGGCCTCTTACGTCCGTCGAGAAGGTGTGTTCTTATGTGGTCCAGGAGGCCAGGCCAGCGCCGGCCGCCGCGATCCTCATCGACGGAGCGGCGCGGATCCTTCCACAAACTGAACCCTTGTTGCAATATCTTCCGAGGGGCGGCCTCCATCTGCAGCCAGTCGAAGCTCATTTGCGAAGTGCTTCTTGGCCCTTGGTGCTCACATCGCAGATGTTTTTGCGGAGTTGCGCCCGCGGTGACCGGCAGAGCTTGCAGACCGTCTTGGACGTGGTGCTGATGGGCCACAGCTTTGGCACTTATGTGGCGCACAGTCTGGCGCTACAGCTGGAGACCTGCGGCTTCCGTGTTAAAGGCCTCCTGGGCCTCGACCCCCGCTCGGGCGTGCCAAGATGCGTGCATGAGACATCAGGCATGTTGCCAAAGGCCCTGGAGGCCAACCGAGCCGCCGTCAACAGGAACTTGGAGATGCTGAAGTTGGACATCATGGTGAACCGCGTGCCTTGGTTGCAAGGAGGGTGGCTACGCCGTAAGACAGCCTCGGATGGTGAGGTGACCTGGTGTGCTAGTGATCAAAGCATGTCCGTTGGCGGGTTGCAGCTCAGCGGCCACACTCTGGGACTGCTAGAAGTGATCATGCCATTCCACCGTTTTGTGGAGGTGCCGCCCATGGCAAGGGACTTTGAAACTGAAGCCGTCATGCGAGCGCAGGGCAAAGACTCTTGTTTCACAATGGTGTTTCGAATTTTCTGTAGGAAGGAGATTTGTGTGGAGGCTTGGGCTTAGGGCTTTAGCCTTGGTTGTGGGGGAGCAAGACTTCGAGGCGCACTTGATACCGAGGGACGTCTTCTAGCGTTGATTACGTCTGCTGGGCAAGTCAGGACCACTGCGACAAGGTTTTGAATGACGTGAACCACTATAATGTCAGACATCTTGCTGCTTGGGACATCACCGTCGCGTTGAACAACAGCGTGAGGCTGGGGAGTTAGAATCCAGACGTGGAAAAGAGCAGGCTTGAACATTGGCGTGATCAGGCGCTCGACAATTTTTCTAGAAAAACTCACCTGCCCACTGTGGGCGTTTACGGGCCTGGGAAGTGGTGTACACCTTGCCCTGAAGGAACGATCGGGCGTCCGATCCGCCTTTTGCGAAGCCTCCAGCTATGCCGGCCAGAGAGGATATGACCGCGTTGAAAGAATATTCTCGCGCGGATGCGCCGGAGAGTACACCTGCAACCGTAAATCCCAAAGCCTACAAAGTAGACCTCTAACCCTGAGAAATCACAAGCCCTACACGCGACACCCCGGAGCCCAGGCCCTAAACTTTGGCTCTAAACCCCAAACCTCAACCCCTCGACGCTGGAAGGCACACCATCAAATGTGTGACAATGATAGTCATGGTTTCCGGCGTGTGCTCAGGTGTTTGGCACGTACGTACATGTACAGGTGCATGTGAATCCCCCCCCTCCCTCGCCACTGATGAAAGACATCAGGCTCCACAGGCATGATAGCATGAAAGAAAGCCAAATTCAGGCTGCACAAACAATGCTTTGAAGGGGGGCCCTCAGGCCCTTCAATACATTATGTGCTGAAAGAGAACCCTGCCAGCAATGGATTAGCATAGGTTCAGATGGACAACCCAGAGCAGTTTTGTCAGGGAAATTCGGTTTGACATTTGGGTCTAGGGTTCAGGCTGAAGGCTTCAAGATTAATTACGAAGCACAAAATTGCACTGCAAGCCTTGGGTCTCACGAGTCCCATGCTTCAGCATCCGCGGGGAAGGCGTATCCGACGCCAGTTAAAGTAGTTTTTGTCTCTCGCTGCGCCATCATGGCGGACCAGCGAGATCGGGAGGCTTCACACGGGCCGGGTGATTTCGCGACCTGGCAGGGGAGAGCCATGTGTGCTATGTCTGTGGTTTCTGCCTCCCTGTTCATGGGCCACGACGCAACTACGATGTCTAAGAAAAGCGTGATAGTCCTCCGAGGACTTGAAGCGCTCGCCAATGGCCAGTATCGGGACGGCGACGCCAGGGCCTCATGGGAGCCTCCATAGAGAAAGACCAGGTCTGTTGCCATGCCTGAGCAGTGAGAGGAAGGAGTTGCTTGACGTGCGTCGCAGCAGTTGCTGAAGCGTAGTGCGGTGTAGACTTGGTTGGCCAGGAGAAAGCAAAGCGAAGAGTAGCATGAAGTAGACGTCCGACCCTCCTAGCATGCTGCTTGAAGCGTCTGGCACATGGCAGCGTAAGACAAGACCTGCCCTTGTCTCTCGTGCCAGGAGCGATACCTTGCCACTCATCAAGAACATGGCCAGAGCCCGCTTCTGGCGCAGGCCGGCAGCGCCGGCCGACGGCAGGCTGCGCAACTAGCCGGCACGCAGCACACGGAGTCTGGGGAAATGGAGGGTATCATCAAGTTGTGTGTCACATCCTCTTAGCGGCTGAGCGTTCAACGTTGCGGGTCAGCCAGCCATCCTTCACAGTTGTGTCATCAGTCCTTGGGTTTGAGGGCTGTTTACTGCTACACCTTTTGGGTTGCTTGTTGTCTGAAATGAGTGTGAAGTGTTGCCGGAAAGCGTGAAACAGGGAATTCTTGCAGTCTAGGGGCACTGATGGGTACTGCTGGAGCCTCGAGTTGCAGGGTCTTCTTCGCCATCTCGCTCGTGACGTCGAGCGTCTCGTTGAGAATGGCCGTTTATGTGATTATGTGGTGAGCTGGTGTGCGTCTCAGCGGTGTGGTGCGGTGTGGCCCCTTTCTCCGCCTCTTTGCTTTGAGCTCAGTCTTACGAAGGGTCTTCAAGAAAGTCGTTGTTTCGGACGGGAGCCACTTCCCAGTCCCAGTCGAGAACGTGTGAGATCTGAAGCAAGAGCTCTGTCAGTCCTCAGGTTTAGATCACGGATCCAGAATAGCTCGGGGAACTTGGACCCGGAACTTGGACCACGCAGCCTCAGATCAGGCTGCACAGCTGGATCCAGGAGCTGCAGATGCAGCAAGGGCCTGAGGATCAAGGGAGGGAGCGAGCGAGAGGGAGGGCTTCACAGTCGCTGCCTGACATAGTACAAGAACCAGCCACTTGCAGCAAGACGGACATTGGCTTGTAGAGGCGTGTGAGTCTTATGCAGGGTGCCTTGAGAGAGTCGTTGTTCCTTCCGCACAGAGAGCTCGTTCCCGGTCAAATCACGAAAGCTAGCCTCTGGGGCTAGCGGAGTTTCTTTGAGGTGTGGGTAAGGGCCCTCTCTGAGGTGGCCACGGCGGGGCGGTTTCCTGAGCTAGACTGCACCGCTTCGCGGTGCTTGCGTTTGAATGGAGAAATGAGGGTCCTATGATGTTCCTGATGCTTGCCGGCTTCGCTTGGGTTCCACTGATGCGCATGATGCTCGCTTAGCGCTTTTGTTTCGGTTGCTGTGATGCTCATGGTCCTCGCTTATCCGATCCATGATGGCCTTGGGAGAAAATTGCGTTTATAGTTCTGCACTCCGAAAGCAGTGCGTTGAGTCTCTGCGAGAATTAGGCCATCCTGGCAGTTGCTCAAATGAGTTTGATTCTGCATGTCGTTGGTCACGACATCCAGTTGTTGCGGGCATCGGCGTCTGAATGTGATCAGTGCACACATCGCAGAGGGTACAATTTGTTACGAGCATGAGCGTCTGTATGATACGACACATATCGATCAGCTCACACATCACAGAGGGTACGATTTGTTACGGGCATGTGGGTGTGTGTGTGTGTGTGTGTCTGTGTGGCTGAGGTCATGCATAAAAGTGGGTACGATGTGTTCGTAGAACGGCCAGTGCGTCTGTATGTTTTGGAGATCACGGCGAGCGTATGTGTCGAGATCGCACAGAACAGGAGGTACGATCTGGAACGGCATGTGGAACGGCCTGTGATATCATGCGACCACGCATGACAGGCGGCATGACTTGCCGCTTGCATTAGCGTGGTATCGCGTATCAATGTGGTCAGCTCACGCATTGACTGGCACTGGCGGCACTGGCGTGTGTATGTTTGTTGAGATCACACATATCAGGGAGTACGATTTGTTATGTGGTTTACGTGGTCAGCTCACACACCGCCGAGGGTACTCTTTGCCAGGAGCATTCGCGGGTGTATGGTTTTGAGATCACATATAGCAGGGAGTACGACTTGTTGTGTGGTGTATGTGGTCACCTCACACATCCGCAGAGAGTACGCGTTGCTACTACAGTAGCATCGGCGTGTGTATGTTTCGGGTTCACACATAACGGGGGGGGGTACGTATTGTTATCTAGGATATATGGTCAGCTCACACAGCGCACACTCACATTAGTCATGGGCATCGGTGTGTCTATGTTTTGGAGATCACACATAACAGGGGGCACACTTTGTTACGGAACGGCCTCTGCACGTGGTCTGGCAAGCTTGGTTGCTGGCATGGGCATGTGTGTGTGTGTGTGTCTGTCTGTCTGTCAGTCTGTCAGTCAGTCAGTCAGT